CAGAAGATAAGAAGAACTTGTATTTAGCCTGACCATGTTGCATTGTAAGAAAAAAATGAGCTCGTTGTCCAGGTTTTGCCACTCTATTGTTGTTCATATTGTACCACCATCTGAGTTACTGAGTCGTGCAGGGAATATTGGACATCACGTCTATAAATCTTGCCATTCGTGTTACATCAGCAATCTCCATTGCCCACCATGAACCCTGACTGATCTGAACCCTCTGGGGTGATGGGATTGGGTTGGAGCATCCAAGACAGAGGGCACTTTACACAACAGTGGGACTGTGACCACACTGATAGCTGAGTGCAGACTTCCTGCAGGTCTTGTGTTGTATCTCCCCACCTGGCATGGATATGTCCACCCCCACAGGTGCCTAGCATGGTGTGGAAGGAGGTCCGGGCTCTTTTGTCTTGTTCAGTGACTCTTTCTCCTTCATGGGTATAATTCAATGAGATGGATAACAAAGACCCCTTACCTCTAAATACCAGGAAAGCACCAGCAGCCAATGTGAGAAGAAATAAAGTGAGTAGGATCCAGAAGGCAGGGAGCCATGGAGATGTACGTGGAAAAACAGCACCTTTGAAAATAGAACATCTGAGTGTCATGTGGCAATATGCAATCTTTCTCCCAAATTTGAGTACCCACTCAAAGATTTTCTCTAGAGATGAATGGATAAATAGTTATACGCCTACATTGTTGGGCAGAACCTGCCTTCCCTAGTGATATGTACAGCATCTCTGGCAAGAAGGACCCTTCTCATTTCTCACTGCCACTTTTCTTGCCTGCAGTGACACATGGCGGTCTGGGATCCATCTAGCCGGACTGAAGAGCTGTTGACTTCCCTGCCACTGGAAAGGGTCTTACAGGACTTCTAGCACAATGAGTCTACAGAAAAGACTTCTCAGGATGATGTGACTCACTTGAGAGACATACAGTAATTTTCTTCTCAGTCTGTACCAGGGGATTCAGGATTTTACAGGTGACTTCTCCCACTTCCTCTCCTGGAACTGTGACTCGACTCAGCACACTGAAGAGTTGCTTGCTGTCCTGGTGTATTGCAGTGTCCGGAGACAGCCTCTGCTTGTTCTGAGCAACCCACTGGACAGTAGGTTTGGGGAACCATCCATGCGATCTGCAGGCGAGCTCAAGCCCTTGCCCTTGGGGTCCCAGTATTTCAAAGAATACTTCACTGATACCTTAAAAGCAAGAAAGTTTGTTAGTGGGAGAAGTGTGTTTCCACAAAAGCAGCTCTACCCTGGATTCACAGCTCTTGCTTAATCCAGAGTTTGGTCCAATTACCTGCCAGTTTCTCTCAGTCCTTAACCCAGTCTTTAAAATGGTCTTTCTGAGATCCCAAACTCTCTCTGCCATATACACCAGCTTTTCTTTGGCTGAGAAAAAGGTACACTGTAGGATGGGTTTGCCTCTGCGCTCACCACTAGTTCTTGGAGCAGGCAGAGAGAAGATGTGTGGGTTTATATTCCTCTTTTAGTATAAAGCTGTAGGAGCTTGCAGAACATCTTTCGGCATAGGAACTCACCCCGGTCTCTTAGCAGATTTAGCAAGCTGTTCCTGCACACTCCTTTTCACCATACAATGCAACTGCCTTTGAACATGCATGCTGAAATCCAGGTCCTGTCCCTCCCAGAAGATTCAGGTTTAAAGCTCCTTCCTTGCCTAAAACTACAAGGGCTACCATGCCCCTCATAGGGCTGGTCAGATCACCAGTTCCCTGGGTTCTCTCCTGGCTGGTGGCACATGGATTGAACTTTTCTTGGCTCCTTAGAGACCTCTCAGTGACTTAGAATTAAAGTGTCATATCCAATCAAAAGGCAGAGGCCATGTTGCCCACTGGGTGATGTGAGTGGGGAGGTGACGTGTTGGGTCATATGAGGGGGGCATCAGCTGGGGGATAGTGCACTTTTAGATAGCTTTTTTTCCCTCTGTAAACACTTCACCCCTTCACCACGTAACCCATGAAATCCCCAACCTGCAATGCTGAGCATGGTGGCTGTATCAGCACTCCAGTCCCTGGACCTCACGATGCAGCTGTATATTCCTTCATCTGCTGGCTGGACGTTCTTCAGTGTTAAGGACACGTTCCCAGCGGCAAATCCCTCTGTTGGCAACAATGTCCGCCCACGGTATTTCTGCGTTGGTTTGCCACCAAACTGCCCGTATATGTGGATATCCTCTACATTCCCATCTGTGATTTTCTTCCATTGCACTTCAATGTTGTCCAGTGGCTTTGTGGAAGTGATGTGGCAAGGAAAGATTGTATCCTGGCCGACAACCCCCACTACATTCTGGGGAGAGGTGACCTCAAAATTTTCTGTGGAAACCAAATTTGAGTGAGCATCTGGCTGAAATCAGAAAATATACTAGTGTGAAGGACACAGAGGACTGGGACAAACATTTTTCCCTGTCCCAGAGAATGAGGAACAATTGAAAGTTGCAAATATTCACTGACATTGGTCCCTTCTGTTAATGCACTTTCAGGCCACGAGATAAAAGATCACAACAGAAAGGTGCCAAACAATGGGAAAAAAAAAAAAAAAGCCCAGGAGATCTTTTGGGGAAATTGTTGGTTTGGAAAAAACTTAGGAAAGCATAATTAATGATTTGATGAAAACATTTAACATGTTTTCTTTAGTTTTTATAAAAGAGAAATTCGGTTTGGGTTGGAGCATTCACTCGCTCCCTTTCTTTTTTTCTTTTCTCTGTGGCAAAATGGGAACTGGGGAAATTGGAAAGATCAAAGTGGTAAAAGAAAGGGAGAAACTAGGCTGACAGAAGTTAGTTAGGATGGGATTATTCTGAAGAGAAAGAAAAAAAAAAAAAAAAAAAAAAAGCTTAAAACAATGTGCAGAGACATTTCATCCAGTTTCCCAGCCTGCCTTGACCCTTTCCAACCCTGTCACCCACAGTGGGGCATCTGTGCCAGTGCAAACTGCCCATGCAGGCAGGGAAATGCTGTTGGCCCTGTGGCAGGGGTAGATACGGCAGAGCTGCGTTGGCTTAGGGATTCCCCATCTCCACCAAGGGATATAAACTCAGGCTGGAAAGGGCTGGAATCCCCAACAGCAGAGTGGCAGGGCAGCTCTGGCTTTTTCGGAGCTAAAATGAGGCCTTCTCAGGGGACCATGACCCTCAGCTTGAGCACTTGTTATCATCTGCAAGCCTTAATCCCTCAGAAACGAGCAGAATAGCACATGAAAGTGTTACCTGAGAGAGGCACGGCTATAAGCAGTGCCACGGCGAACAAGAGCTGTCTTCTCTGTTCCATATCCGCAGTGGCATATGTGGGACGATCATGCAGCTGACCTGAAACAGGCACAGAAGGGAAGTATGCAAGGAAGGGAAATCCTGTCCTAAACCCATCTGATATCTCTCAAACGGCACTTGCCATCTGCAGTGCCTTCTGAAGGTGCGAAGCACTGAAGCAGTTGAGTTTAGACATCAAGAAAACTTGTGCCTTTCCAGAGATCTCAACTAACCTTGCAGCTTCTGGGAACTTCTCAGTTTAACATGCTCCCAGGAAGTTGTGGCGGAGTACACAAGAGAGAAAAATTCAACAAGGCCCCCACTGCTTGCTGCAAAAGTTGATGGACACCTTAATTAAGACACCAGCTTAAAACTCTGGGTTGCACAACTCTGTCCGTGGGAGAAAAAGAGGGAGATGGGAGGAAAAGGAGGAAGAAACTCTGTTTACCCGCTCCCATGCTTAGGTTTGGAAAATGGGAAAACCATCCTGTTTGCTATCGTGAAGATGCCTCTCCCTGAGAACCATCAGACTGCAGAGTGACAGTGCATCAGCTCTGTCACAAACCTGATGTCATTTAGGGAGCTGCAGCAGGGCTGGCTTTGCTGCACTACACTAAAAAACGTGCCCTCCTCTTCTCTGGGGACTTTGAGAGTTTGTGGACTTTGACATTTCCAGTATGTGGTTGACTGTCCTTATCTCAGTCCCCATAACAACACTGTTTGTGTGATACCTTTATTACTTTATCAGCATTCAAAATTCCATGCTTAGTGAGCAGCGAGGAAGACAGGGCATCCCAATAACTTCCAAGCAGAAGTAAATCAACTTGCACTGCAGTATCTGGATGCATCCCTACGTCCAAGAGAAGGTGGGGACAGCTCTCACAGCTACGTCTGATGTGACTAAATTGGATGCTTTTAGAACAAACATGATGGTGTGGCAAATCAGATGATCAGTCTACCTTATTCTGGATTAATTCTTGTACTGGGAAGGCAGCTGCCATGCTTGGTCAGTAAGCACAAGTGGAGTGACAGGGGAAGTATTCAATTCATATGGTTTTAATCATAAATTCTCCTTCTTCACTTGCCAAAGAGAGACAGGGACTCCTGGAGGTATTTCATCCAAGTAGCCACAGACAGCTACAGTTGGGATTCATCTCTACTCATCTTTGATATCCATAGAATCACTTTTTCCTCTGGGCTGGTTGCTTTTAGCTCTGTTTATGGTACACGGAGGTAAACAGGCACTGCTAGGTCCCTCAGCATCCAAGAAGGCACAGGTGTTAGGGTGAGATGACCACAACCTTAGCTCCACTGACTGCATTTCCCGTATCTCCATAAACAATGCAAGCAGGTCAGGGCATTGAATGTGACACTGCAACTGGCACTAAATCCTATAAACTATCGTGCTAAATTCTGCTCTTTCTATTCTCCACGGATTTTCATGGGTTTGAACATGCACTTGGTGCTTTGCAGGCAATTGTCACACAAGGTCATATGAAATTTTGTTGGAGACATTAATATGGACATCTAATATGGGGAAGGAAATGCTTAGAGATGAGGGAGTCGCTCCTCAGTTGCTTAAAAAGATGTCCCTAGGGCTGTTTCAGGTATTGTTTAGGTTGGCACACTGAAAGAGACATTTCAGAGGGGGCAAGGCAGATATGACACAGGACTTGGGGAAACCTGTTCCCATCTGGATCAGCAGCTGGAGGCTTAGAAATGCAAATTGTCACAAGACACCTCTGCTTACACATCTCCTGGATGTGTTCACTATCCATTAAATCTTATAGGCCCATTTGAAATTCAGGGCAATCCCATCCCTCCAGCGTACTTTCACCTTCTGCCCAAGGCTGAGATGACTTGCACTGATGAGACTGGATACATCAGAAAGTAGCATCAGATACAGACAGGAACATCTGAACAGGTGAATTCTAGGCAAAACATGCTGAGACCTTAGACACCTTGTTTAGCAACACTGATACTTCTGCTGACAAATGTCACGTTTTTCATAAGTCTAACTTTTAAAAACATTTCCTGTCATCCAAGGAGGGCCTAAAAGAAACCTTGTTGTCTAACAAGTCATCATTTACTACTTCAGAGACCAAAACCACATTCCCAAACAAGTTGAATGCTTTTCAAAAGAAGACATGAAAATATGCCATTACCAAAAAAAAAAAAAAAAAAAAAAAAAGCCAGAGCTTCTTAGTCACGCTGGGCACTGCTAAACAGGCATACCGTGATATATTTTAACTACGATCAATAGTCACTGTTACACTAGAAGGGTAGAAAATGGAGTTGAGTTAACATTGACACTGCAACACGTATGAAATCTACAAAGATCACTGAATGCACTAGAATTATAATATGAATAATTTAACGGGTAAACAAAGACGATGTCGTGATGACGTGATGTTTGCTGCATATAAGTTGACAACCTCAGTCTTTCAAGGTACTAATCAGGAAATTTTAAACTTCTTAACATTTCTGCAGATGCAACTAACCCCCTGGGTGCTATGGTAATTATTGTCAACCTGAGTTACCATAATATCAAGATAGTTTCAACAGGAAAGAGTTTCAAGTGGGTATACTTCATCAGCCTTACTTTGCCCGAAGGCACTGCCCCAAGGGGGTCCCTGGACCCAAGAGTCCTTTTCAGAGGGGGAATACAGCCCTTGTCTCCTGCTCTGCAGCCTCCCCTTCAAAGCCGTACTCAGAAAGCACAGCCAACTTTGTACACCAAAGACAACAGAAAATCCTTGGTGAAACAAAAATTGAACCCAGATGCCCAATTGATACCTTGTCTTTTTCCCCCAAATGACCATTCTCTGTCACCTTTATTTTCCTCTCCGAGCCCTACCGGGAACAACCATGCTGCCGATGCCCCCAGTTTCTTGCCGCCTGCACCTGAGGAGACATGGGGGATGAGAAAAGCTTTCTGGCCTCTGTGTGCACAGCTTGGATGAAGGAGAGTGGTTCCTTTCCACCCCGACAGCAGCACTGCATTCATGACTTGTTGAGAAGCAAAAGAAATAAAAGAGACATGCTTACCTGCCTTAATGAAGAAAGGTGAACAGTGATATGGGAGAGCTATTTTTCCTCCTTGCCAGAGAAACTGAACTTTCACCTGCAGAAGGGAAGGAAAACGAAAAGAAGAATCAGGTACCAAAGTTTAAATTCAGTTTTTCTCTGCCCAAAAGTCACTTCTCTGCCTGAAGGTCACGTCTCATTTTCTGTATGAGGGATGTATTTTTGTGTTATAGGCAATTAGGTGCAAATGGAGCTTCGGTGTTAGGGATCTGAATGCCCACTCCTTAGCACCAGAAATGAACCTTATTTCAGAATTAAAGCTGGATTTTACCTATTGTCGGCTAAGAAAGATCTCCACATCTTCGATCTATGGATCAAAGGTTAACTTTGATCGATTCAGTAAGGGATTAACTTTGAACAGTGAAACTGAAACAAAGAATGAACTATTAAAGATTAACTCGGGCTACGGCTCTGCCTGAAGGTGACATATCATTTTTCTGTAAGACCGATGCTTTGTTGTCCGGTTACATTGAAAAGGGAGGCATGGTTTCCCTAGGATTTGACAGACATCATTTAGAGAAATTAGCTCAAACGGTAGTAATTCTGCCTTTCAAGAAGGTCATGTCTTTGAACTGACGTGCGCTTGGATTTTCACTGCACTTGCCTTTTAGTATCACTTTTCACAGTTGTTTCTTCCTTGAAATACTGTGCCAGAAGCATTCCTAGCTGCCCTAGAAATTATATGGTATTGGGAAGGTTTTGGGGAGTTGAGAAATGGAGATACTAAAATGGAATTCTCTCCATGAAGGAGTGAAAGGAGGAAGGAGGAAGGAAGGTGTTACCCATGGTGGAGGAGGACCACGTTAGGGACCCTTAAACAAATTTGACATAGGTAAGTCCATAGGTTGCCCCCACAAACGCTGCGGGAACTGGACGATGTCATTGCAAGGCCACTCTTGATTATCTTTGAAAGGTCATGGTGACTTGAAGAGGTAACCCATGATCTCACCTTCACTGGCCATCCAGATCTGCTTTGCAAGCAATGGGGGAAGCAGGGAACTTTGCAGACAGCATTTCTCACTGCTCTTGTGTTGAATTCTTCTTGACTGACTTAAAGTAGCCCCAGGATAGGAATTGTCTCAGAGGGGAGGAACAGGCACAGACTGAGATGATGGGTGTCACAACTCAGCCTAACAGCATCCCTCCAAGCCCCACGAGATGGATGAGGCCAAGCTTCATGGCTGCTGCTTGGAGGAGCATTCAGACGCTGCAGCACAGTCTTTTGGGCACTGCATTCAAAGGTCCCTAGGACCACCCTACCTTAAATTTGACAGGAGGGTTATTTTGGAGTGGATGCCACCCAAAAAGACCTCACAGTAAAGCTGTTGCTGTAGGGACAGAAGTAGATACTTCCCTCCAGATCAGCCCATGTCCGAGATGGCAATATGGCCAGCTGAGACATTGTTGATTCAACAACTCCTTCAGCTGACCAAAGGTAGGGGCTTTCTTTTGAGGGAGATAAACAGAGCAATGGAAAGTGTGTGATGTTGCTGGCATATATCTCTGCCCTCATCACAACGGGAGGCAGTGTGTCAGAGTGAGGACAGGCAGTCACCACTCCAAAGCAGTGTGGTGTGTTTTGAGCCCCGTGGTCTACCCATACAGGCAACCATCTTTTCCCTTCTCCACTGTTTCTAGTGGGCTATTTAGCCATCATAGGCATGCAGGAGAACAGAGGGCTCCTGCTCACTGGGGTTTTCCTCCTGGCCCTTCACATTGCAGGTAAGACCTCTTCCTGCCCACTCTCAGCTCCCTCCTCACCCAACAAACTCTCTTGGTTTCTCCCCTTAGCTTTGTCCACCTTTTGTTTGCCACTACTCCACAGAGAAAAGCCAAGGAGAAGAAAAGATTAAAAACTCATGGGGAGTTTTTACACATCTTCTCTTTTTCAAAACTGCGGCATTTTCAGGGCTTCCAAACAAAACTCAGTTTAAATCAAAGCCTCTCATCTCATTATTCTCTGTTACTTCTTAGGACTCCCATCATCTCACACCATGCATGATTACTTGCTGCAGAGTCCCAAGAAAATCCATGATTTCCCCTCCATTGGTTGTCACACTTCATCCCTTCCCCACTGTCTCATGCTATCAAAAGAAAACCCACCCTAGTGACTAATAGAAACTGGCACACTTGAAAGTCAGGGCAGTAGATGCCTCTCTAGCCTTGCCGTCCAGGCCCATTAACAGATGGAGTTATTTATGCCATGCACTCACAAAGCTTTAGTCCTTCCAGGAAAGTCCCAAGTCACATCTAATCTGGCCATCATGGGAGTTGTTGGCCAGGATGTGACATTGCCCTGCCACATCACCTCCACAGAGCCAATGGACATCATTATAGAATCATAGAATTACAGAATCATTTAGCTTGGAAAAGATCTTTAAGATCATCAAGTCCAACCATTAACCTAGCATGGCCAAGTCCACCACTAAACCTAAGCATCACTTCTACATGTCTTTTAAATACCTCCA